AAGTCATGGATGAGCTAGCCACATAACCCATTGACTAAGTCAAAATTGAAGCTTGAGAGACATATCCCCAAATGCTAGCTATTTATTACATGTATTTTTTTAGTACGTAAAAGTTAAAGACTGAATTGCCTCAAATAATTTTTTTTAATTATCATTCATTCATAAATTTATTGGATCAAAATCTTTATAAAAGTTAAATTAAAACAACTAAACTAAATTCAAATGGAGGGAGTGACTCCACATTTAGATTAATGAGGCCAAATTTTACAACAAACTAACATTAGGCACCTGCCTGTCAATTTTCTGTCTGCCCCGCGGCAAATCAGTGTTAGCTCATGTGCCAACATGGCTTATGGGTCTCACATCAAATATCATAATATTTAAAAGAAAAAGCAAGAAACTATAGACAATTTTTTTTTTTTAAAAAAAAATGTAATTCTTTACAATATATATTTCTATATTTTTTATGCTGCATCAAAATGAAATTTGACAGAACTTAAAAATAATAATAACTGTAACTTTAAAAAAAGTGAAGCACTTTTCTTATTCCCTAGGGGGTTTCTATTTTCTCTCAAATAAGAGTGGGGTTTTTCTTCTTTCTTGGTACTGCGACGACACTTCGAGTAAGATGTGCGTTATGGTTTTAAATGAAGGGTGTGGAGGATGAAGGGTGTGGAGGGTGATAGTGTATATGGTCCACTCTACTGGTTTTTTTATTTTTTCATTTTGATTAAGAAAAACAAGATAAAAAAACGTCCTCCTTCTTCGATGCAATACTTTGGGGGATTGTATTCATGGTATAGTTTGTCTCCTTCTACTTCAGCTACTTTTTCTACTACGTCTGTGTCGTCTGATCTTTGGCATCTTTGTCTTAGTCATCCTGGTTCAGGGTCCCTCGCTCATCTTATCAAGCGTGGTTTTCTTCTTCCAAATAAGAAGATGGTCCATCATGGTTCTTGTCATGCTTTGTCAACACATCTGGGAAGTTTAGCCGCTGCCCATCCATTCCTCCAACATCACATGAACCATCATCTAGCTCATCTCCTTTGCACATGCACAATCCATCGTCCATACTTAACCCATCATCAGCATCCACTTCAGAATGCCCAAAAAGCTTGTCCTTGTCTAGTCGAATGCCTCCTGTCCGATCTTCACCAACGCCTACTATTTCTTCCAAAACCGACACCATGAATGCACGGTCTATTTCGGATGCAGCGTATCCCAGTCACCTTCCGTTGCTTCTTTGGACACACATGGCGCGCAGCCCGCAGGACCACGTGGTAGCTACTGATGCTACACAGGATCAAGTTTCTCATCTTCCTAGTACAATTTCCACAGCTAGCTTCTGTTCCTCACAGTACCTATTCCATGGTCACTAGATCTCAAGATGGCACTTGCAAGGTGAGTCTTTTACCTTCCATGGTTAATGGCCAACTCACCAATGTAGGAACCAAACACTATTAACAGGCCCAAAAATCTCTTGAATGGCTGAAGGCTATGGAGGAGGAGCATTCAGCTTTAATTCTCAAAATAAAACTTTGGTGTTGGAGCCTTGTCCTTCGAATGCTAAT